ATCCAAAAGCAAAGCTAGAAAATTGCTTAAAAGTGCTCTTGAATCTTCTTTAGTTAGTTTCTAAACACAGGCATTTTTATATAAATATGAAGAAGGCTTCATCCTCAGTTCAGATACAACCCCCTACTTATGGAGATCTGATAACAATTCTGAGCATTGATGGGGGTGGTATTAGAGGAATTATTCCTGCCACTATCCTTGAATATCTTGAATATCAACTTCAGGTGATTCACTTTTAAATAGCTTTGTTCCTATTTTTATTCAAAAGCTTAAACTTTGGGGAAGAAACTCATTTATTTATTTTCTAATTCTCTTCAACGCATCCAACCTTGGGCAGGGCCAGATTCATTTTTTCTTCAAAATCTTGACTAATTGATAATTTTAACAAACACATAACAGTTAGATTTCAATGCAACCTTAACAACCTTGGAGATGTGTTCTTCGTTGCCAGGTGCTTGACGGCGTAGACTTGCAGATTACTTTGATATTATTGTAGGAACGAGCACGGGAGGTCTAGTAACTGCCATGTTAATCCCTTCCAACAAAAATAATCATCCGTTGTTTGCAGCTAAAGATATCGAACCCTTTTATCTCGAGCACTCCTCTAGAATTTTTCCTCAAAAGAAGTATAAATTACACTTTAGTAGTACAACAAACAGTTGCGTTTTATACGAATCTTATTGATTTTATGACCATATTTTATTGATGAGCACCTGTATTTGTATTGGTTTTGGATTGCAGTGGCTTACTAGGATTGGTCAGAAAACTATTGAAACCTATAGTTGGACCAAAGTACGATGGAGAGTACCTTCACAATGTTATCAAGGAGAAACTTGGCGAGACTCGACTGGATGAGACATTAACTAATTCTGTCATTCCAACATTTGACATCGAAAATTTGCAACCTATTGTTTTCTCCACATATTTACTTGAGGCCTCTCAATCAATTCAAGGGCCTTAGACAAAATTTTTGAGAGTATCTTTTCCATAAAGAATAATAACAAATTAAAATAGAGCGAACAATGATAATAAATAATTCTGTCAATAATTGCTGTCATGTCAGTGACTTGATTGGAATTGCTAACACTCATATTGTTGGATATGATCAATGCACATATCTCAGCGACTACTGAAAATAATGACATGTACGATGTCATCGGTAATCATCACCAACATTTCGACGAATGGTCGGCCTACGAAGAAGTTG